CACACACACTCACACACACACTCACACACACAGGAGAGTAGAAACAGCTCAGACCCTCTCACTTGAATCCATAAAAACACAGAGGGGCTTTCGGGCCACAGAGAGAGTGCGTGTCTGTGTGTGCTTGTGTATCCACTTGTAAGCACTTTTGTGTGTGTTTTTCTGTTTCGGAGGTCGGGAACCTGTAAAACTTCACATCAGTCACACTTACTTAATACAGGTTTGAATTGGCAGCCTCACCGTCAACGACGAGACGTTTCAAAGGTTCCTCTGTTTTCCTGTAACTTGTTCAAACTTCTGTCTTTTTTAAAATCACACATTTCTCCCCTGAGCTCTTTTACTGGTTATTTTATATCTACGCTGCATGTTTCATGTTTATATGTTGTTCGCCTGTGAAGTGATGCATTGTGGTTTCAGGGACTCAGACACACACACACACACGTTACCTGTTGGCTCCATGGCTGACACGGGATCCCAGACCTCGTCACGTTCACGCTGCCTTGGTAGAAACGGCCTCTGTCATTGTAACATAATGCTGTTGACACCAGACAGATTGAAAATGGAGTTAATATTTTATTTTTAACCATTTCTATTCAATAAAGGATCAGTTTGTTGATGTGTGAGATTAGTGGTGATGACTGAAAACACATTTTTAAACTTACTTGTGATGTGATCTCTCTTGATGTCTGAAATGCAAAAGCACACAGATTAAAAACCTTGAGTATTGAAACCAATACTTTTAAATGATCCGTATAAACACATTTCATTGAGCAATTAATAAAATGCTGAAGGTAAATTCAGAAAGTTTGACATTATAGTCATGACTTGTAGTGAAGCGGTCTTAGATTCCGTATTTAGGATATAGAAGACAACTAAATGTCTTGTGCAAGAAGCATGAAATAAACTCTTGTACCCACAAAGCAGAGATGTATCTTACATTTTGGATTGTACAGTGTTCCTGTCTCTTACCCACAAAGGGGACGTGTGTGCACGCCTCCGGGTCTGAGCGAAGACTGGGCAAAGCCTGACATTTGGGCAGCAGTGAACTGGGAGCGTTGGGCCCGATGACGGAGCTGAAGATGCTCGGCTGGAACAAAATGCTGCTCTCTAGCACCAACCACTCCTTATGGCAGTACAGCTCCTTCACCGCCAGGCAGTGCTCTCTGTGTTTTCGAGTGGGGAACAGATGATAAACTATTCATTCAGTCATTTATTATGTTGTTGATTCACCCTTAGAGAAACTCTTACCTGCAGACAGGTTTCGGTGCCGGTCCTAACCCCGATGGGTTGCAGTCGGGGAAGGAGGCGTGGCATAGCAGCGAGCGCAGCGCGGGGCCGCAGAGCGCACTGAGGCCTTCCAGCTCCGCCGACCAGCTCTGAACCAGGTACTCCTGCATGTCCTCGGGGTCCGAGAGGGAGGAGTTAAAGAAAACCAGCGAATCGTCTCGCAGGATGGTGCGACACACATCTCCTCGGTAGGCGCTGCAGTAGCCTGCAACACCTTTATAGAGTCTGACAGAGGGAGAGAAACACAGTTTGTTAGCAGGATTACACGAAAACTACGCAACTGACTTCTATGAACGTTTGTGAAATGCGGGGTATGATTCACTTTCTGATCTGAACAGCTGGATCCAGAATTTCCACTCTCCAAGCAACCTTCAAGAACACAAACACTTGTATTCGACCCTTTAACCAATCTGGGGCGACGGATTCGCGTCTGGGGGCAACAGCCAATATGTTGGTGCATCTGGTGTGGACAGATATCAAGGCCAACACTTCTTCCTTTACACTGTTTACAGTCCGACTAGCTTCTTTCATCAAACAGACAATAACCGGTTGTTTTCTCCGAGTTTTCGGTCCAGACAACGTTTTGCATCACATAGAAAATTAACTTTGACTAACTGTAGTCATGCACGATTGATTTTACTCGATTGAATAAACACTATATATTTATATATTTCTTTTGCCAAGCTGTTATAAAAGAGAATGAAAGGCAGTAAGAGATGCAGACCACGGCTTCCTGAGTTTACGACATTTAGTAAACATTTGCGGAGGTGTGCATCTAAAAAATATCTTCTTTGATGTGATCCAGATGTTGATCGTGAAACAAGTTGCAGGAGGTTCATATGACATTACATCCTGGCTGCCTCTCTGTGGGAGCTGCCTCGTGATAGAGCGGCTCAGTCGTATACAACCTGTGTAACCATGCTCTGCTTTTTCTCCCGTCTGCCTCAGCTCTTACATCTGTTCGCCTTCCAGCATGGACACCATCCACATTTCTGCCTCACATCTGATTCCTCTGCATGTGAGTGTGAGTGTGTGCACGGTTACAATGTCCAGATGTCGCCTCTCGTGGAGTTTGGTGCTTCGAGTTCAAGCCAAACCATCAGACCTAGAGCTAACCTGTAAATCTATCAACCCCATCATCCCGCCATGTCCTCCGTCCCTCTACTTTCTCTCTTTCTTCTCCGCTCTCTCCGTTTCAATACAAACATATGGTCCAGATGTGGTCATGAGTTGGCGATTCTTGCAAGTAAACCTTTTCAGTCTGCGACCACTATCTCCTTTCTCCTCAAACATTCTCATCAGGCCGATGTTTTCTTTTCCCTTTCTTCTCCCACCTTTTCCTCTTTTTCTCTCCGTCTTTCTCCATCTGCCTGTCTGTCTGTCCTCCCTCTCTCTCCCCTCTCCAGATGTGGTTGTGCCGTGGTTCAGCAAAGTTCAAATTCAACTGACACCACATGAGTGACTGAGAGAACGGCTCCCTCTTGGCAAAGCATCTTTACTGACGCGACTGAAATGCTCGTTGTCGCCTGCAGACCCGGAGGAAGTGACAGCACTTCAGTGTCTTCAAATGCAGCAAGAACACAAGTGGTTTCGGCGCCTGTGTAAAATTTAATGACGAGCGATGTGCTGTGTGGTTATTCTGACTATTCAGGCTTAAATGTGTCTCTGCAAAACTGGATTGCTTCATGGAAACACAAGAGGAAACCCTGAAAGATTGAGCAAAGGACACAGTCATGTCTCTTACCTCCACTCTATGGGGAAGTGGCAGTGTCCGGAAGACGTCGGTTGAAGGAGGACAAGCAGGAGGAGAAGACGGAAGAGACAAGAGAGAGACACAGAGATAAAAATCAGTCTGAGCTGGAAGAGAAATCCAACCATGGTTCTTCATAGCCGGCTTTGAGGAGACTAAGGGACGACCATGTGGACGGACAGTGTGTGTGTCTGTGTGTGGCCAGGGAGGCATGCATGTGTGTGTGTGTGTGTGTGTTTGTTTGTCTTTAGGTGACTGGGGTCATGAGGTGTGGTTGAGAAGAATCAGCCATATGGGGAAGACACCAAAACAGCTGAGGCCACACAAAACACCTCCAATATAACCGGCAGCTGAAATAACACAAGACACAACAACAACAACAATACACATATAAAGACGCACAATATACAAAGTACTCAATGTGTGCAACGGAAATCACTGCAGTGATCGGGTGTTAAATCCTTTTTGTCTTTTATTATTATTAATTGTGTTCTTTCTAAGTGTTTCAGTGCAGGTGCATTATTATACTTATAGCTTTTTAGTTTAGTCCATGTCCCATCTGCTAACATGGAGGGTTTATGCACTGCATGTTATCCGTCTTTATCTATGGTCACTACCATTGATGGTGACTCTTGCGGTTGCTTTGACGGTGTACGCTCCAGCGTTGTGTCTGTTGGAGGCCAGACAGGTGAACAGAGCCGGCATGTTCACTGTCACTTTCAGAACGGACAGAATCACCTCTCCCACCAGCGTCTCCTCAACGGATGCTCCTGAAATCTGAAGAAAATGGTTTTCATATTATTTGCTTGTCAAGTTGATATAGGAACGTTCTACATGAATTCTCTGAACCGACACCTGGAAAAAACAACGTGGCTGCGAAGCTGCTAAATGCTCCACTCCGTAAATTTGTCCTTCTGCCATCAAAGCTTTTCTTTCCACTGAAATCTGCTCCCTGCTACAACTGGAAAGAGGTTTGTGAGAGCGAGGCAAGGCAGTGAGTTTATTTATAACGGCGTTCTGACACGAGGGAATTCACAGTGATTTACAAAAGCCTGGAATTATGGCATTAAAGTCATTTTAATAATAAGACATAAAAAGAAAGTGTTTCCTGGAGGCAGAGACGGAATAATTAAAACAATTAAACGAGCAGTGACACAGAAATGCTGCTGAGTTTAATGAAATTGTACCATTCAAATTCTCATAAGTGTCAGTTGTTCCTACGCTGGTTATAGTCTCCCGGGTGTTGAGTTGTTAAAATTACATTCATGTACTAAATGTCTGGCATTGAAATACACTTGTAACCATGGCACTCAGCAGATAACAAACAGCCTATGGGGTCTAACGTGAACCACATCACATCCTTACACCAATTTACTTGGAAATCCATTCAATTGTCTTTGTGTAACCTTGCTTACGAACAAACAAACATACAAACCAACCAAAAACCAAATGGACGGACGGAGAAAACATAATTTAGAAGATTTAAATTCCCTGATATTCACACTACACCGATATAGCCTGATGAAATGTATTTATTGCCCTCTAGTTTCAATCTTAATTGTATAAATATAAATAATGTGAGTGTGATGTGTGCAACATGCCCATATTTGTAGGTGCGTCTGATAGCATCTGTTTTTACGATGATCTCTTCGCTGCCCCGCTGAATTTAATGATGTCTGCGAGCTGCCAGAAAGCAGCTCCCACAGTCATTTTAATCAACACACACACACACACACACACAGTATTTACAAGCATCATGGGCCTGTAATCATGTTGTAGTTAGCACCAAAGGCTATTAAATATCCAGACATTACTTGGGGTATGTCTGCCTACAATAGCACACATTAAAAATGTCTTGCTGCCTTTTGGGAAATAACGTCGCGTTCAGGTGGTCCTGTATGTAATCTTCATGATTTAGCCTCAATCTGAGTCACCACAAAGTTTGTTTCCTGAAGGTTTTACCACAGTCAAGTCTGAATTGTTCTTTATTCATTTAATATGTTTCTTTGAATGTGTATTTTACAGGGACAAACTTATCCAAAAGTTTAGTCCATGTCCCATCTGTTAACATGGAGGAGGCGTGCGTGACCTATAGCCCAGTATCGTCAATTCACAAGTCAGCACTCTGCGACATCGGTATCATACCACAAGTTCACTTATTAAAAAGCTGATAATACTGAGTATTATTGGCTAAATGAAAAGCAATCTCTTCAATCCCCCGTCGCCATAATGAGAATTCCTCCGCTGTTTATATCACTGATCCCACTTTGAGCAAGTGTGTGTGACAGAAAGAGAGCAGAGGATAAAGAGAGATGTGGGGTAATTGATCTGATGTGTGTGTGTTCCATTGTCCTGCATGTGTGAAGCTGTGTTTCTAGTGTCCTCGTGTCCCGGTTTCCTCAATTGCACTTCTACGCACATGACTATTGAGAGTACAAGCAGATAGACAGTATATCAACAACACCACTCAGGGGGAGGATGTGGTCTGGGAGGTAGAGCCATCAGAAAATCTTGTGGTTCGATTCCCGGCTCCTCCAGACGGACATCACGTCACCTCAGGAGACATCTACGCTGCCGCAAGTGAAGATTGAGATTCCATCACTCGAATTTCGTGTGAATTTACATCAGACTCTAAAAAAACACACTCGCTTCCCCCCCCCCCATCCACTCCGTTATTGTCACAGCTTTCCCATTATGTAAAGCTCTTCAGCTGACAAGCTGTCACAATGCCTGCTACGTGATGAAACTCCTCTGATGTTTGGCTGTGCCGACGGACATTTGAGCCAAAACTCAACCTCTCTAGAGGAGATAAGATCATGGGCATGTATGAGACTGGGTACGGGACTGGGCAGACATGGATGGATGGATGAGGAGTGTTTGAACATGTATAGATTCATTAATTTTTTGGGTTGACCATATAAACCCATGCTGACATCGAGAAAGAGGCGGGATACACCTTCAATCATGGTCACATTCACACCTACAGGCAATTTTGAGTCTCCAACAAACCTAACCCAGTCTTTGGACAGTTGAAGGAACATTGAGTACCCAGGAAGAACACACGTAGACACAGGAAGAACATGCAAACCCCATCAAGAAAGGCCAACACCTGCTGTCAGATCTGAAGCCAGAAGGTTCTTGGTTCACGCTGTCTACACCTTCAAACACTGAAGCTAAAGAAACTTACAGTATTCCCATTTTTCAGCCAGGTGATGGTGGGTATCGGATTCCCCGTGGCGTTACAGTCCAGGCTGATCTGGCTGCCGTACGCTACTCTCTTCTCTTTTGGAACCCGCAGGATTCGTGCCGGAGCTGGAAGCGTACAGAGGCCACACAGTTCAGTTGGCATAGTTACACTGCAAACAATAAGTAATATGCTTCAGTTTTAATAGCGTTTTCTAACAAGCGTAAAAAGTGAGATTACATTAAAATACTTACCCTGTACCTCTATAGTGACCGGCTTTGAAAAGGCTAAACCAAAGCTGTTCCTGGCCACACAGCGATACTGCCCCGCATCCTCCTTCTGTATGTTGTGAATCTTCAACGCACCGTAGTCCAGAATGGTCACACGGTCAGTGATCTGACGGAGATGAGACACGACTTTGCTAGAATTATATTTCCCATGTTTCTCGACAGCAGGCTATGCTTTTTTTTTTTCAAAAGTGGGCTATTTGTTTAGATTTTCCCGGTCAAAGATCTTATTGAATACGTTACATCAGTGAGAAGCTTGATGGAATTAGGAAACTCTGTTGGACAAACCTTGATGAGCTCGTCATCTTTGATCCAGGTGACATCTGGTTTGGGATTTCCCAGGGTCACACAGGGCAACACCGCTTTGGATTCGACCAGAAGCGTCAGGTTGGTGGGATGTCGTTTGATCTGAGGTTCTAATGCAGAAACAAACAAACAAAAAAAGATCCCGAACTTTCACCGCTTTGTCTCTCAGTGCTGTTGAGAAATTAGATTTTGGAATTGTACCGTCTTCTTTAAAAATCTGGACCGGGGACGTCAGCTCTAAAAAACCGTGGAAGGAAACAGACATACTCATCTTGAGCTGCAGCGCTCCACAGCTCTTGGCCGCCTCCCCGATGCCGTTATTGGCGAGGCAGCAGTATTCTCCGTTATCTGATTCTCTCACATGAGGGACAATCAGCATCTGTCCCTGCTCCCTGGTTCTGTAGCGAGGGTCATACCTAATATGGGACAGAGAGTTGTAAACAGAAGAGATGGACCATACTTGGGGTTAGGGTTATGTGAACGTGATCAGGATCAGGGTTACTATATGAACCTTATATAGAAGAATACACATTTCAAGAATGTTTTGAACTTATGAGAAACTGTGTTTGGACTTTTTTTTCTGCCACAAACTCAGGATCTGCTTGTGATAGGACTTCTGGACTTTTGGATTTCACTGCACTCAATTCTCTGTTTGCTGTTTTATTTTGAAACTTCTATCATTGTGTGTCTCTCTTGCTTTACTTAATTTAAATATTACTATGTACACAATGTGACCAAAATATAGATTTCCTCTATAAAAAGGCATAGTCATCAACTGACCTCCAAGAGTACAATCAAAAATGTGTCCTGGCGTTAACTCACATGATTGGTTGGTTGTTCTTGGTCCAGGTGATGTCAGCAGGAGGACGTGACTCCACTTCACAAATGAAGGTGGCATTGTGATCCAGCAGCACATCCACTGTCTCTAGTAAGGTGATGATACGAGGGGCTAGAAAACAAGAAATCCTTTGTTTGGGAAAAGTTGGCATTCGGAGCGAAAACAACGTCTCACAGTTCGAGCGGAGCTGAAACGCGGTTGTGCAGATGTGTGTTTTCTGCAAAGTGTCCTCGCAATATGGTTTTTGTAGCTCGATGTTTCTTTATGATACATGACAGTCTTCATCATGGAAAACAGCTGATTCTTCTCAGCTAAATTACTCAACATTCTTGGCGTTCCTATTTTAGACCGAGTCATCTGTTTCAGTCCGGCTCCGCTGACGAATCAGAGGTTTTGACGTTTGTTTCAGTTTTGACCTGGAGCAGTAGAAGGATGACTGACTGGAGGGAAAAGACTAAAGAATAAAAAACATCTGGATCTTTTAAACCGAGAAGGACAGAGAGTGGATTGTTGAACTCAATCTTAAGCTTCAGTTTATCTTTAATTTTCTATTCAAGCAGAAGCTGGAACCAGGACATTTTAATTTAGGGTTCAAGGACGGGCTCCGTCCCCGGTGCACTCTCTTTGTTCTAGATCTGATTTCAACAGATGGTCTTTGTTAGAAGGAAAGAATTACCCGCTCTGTGTAAACTGATTATCAAACTTCTATATACAACCACCTGTTATTATAAACCAGGTGAATCCAGAGTTAAAGATGTGATCAATATTTAGATTAACCCAGATTGAGCTTCAATCGGGAGAGGAGTAAACAAGACGATGGATTCTTTTCAGACCAGTGAGACGAAGGTGAAATTAAAGCAAGCGGCCCGAATAAGGTCGTCTGTTATTTATTTTGTTTTTTTGACAGCGAATATATTAAGGAGGAGAAATGAGAGGGGGAGTTCAAACAGAGATGTGTTGAAAGGAAAAGAGGATGAGAGAAGATACAGAGATGAGGCAGAAACTGTTGTGTGTGGATTCACATCAGAGACACCGGGGTTGATTTAAACTTTGCACGAACTCTAAGAGGAGGAAGAGGCAAAATAGAAAAGAATACAAAGAAGTGAGGAGGAGGGGGGAGAAGAAAGTCAAGGAAGAAAACAGAAGGACGATAAAGGAAAGGATCAGGACACTGTTCTCTTGTGAAATGAAGATTTCACGATAATAAACGTGGAAGAGAAGTCGACACACTCTCCACGCTCACCCCAACGCTGCTGTTTGACTCATGAACTCACGATGGAAAGAGTTGAAGCCAAATCACCGGGATTTCTCCTGTTGGAGCCGAAATGAAGTTTGAAAGTTGTTTAATAACAATTTTGTCTGATTACGGAATACTTCAGTATGAATTTGTGTCTCTGAGGTTAAATGTAATATTTTTAGCCAAACAGTTTTTCCCCACCAGCTGCTGAGTCTGTTTTTGGTTTTTGTTTGATGGAAAAGTATTTTTTTACTTAAACCTTTAATCAATAAAGTGCTTTCGTTAACTTTGACTCAGTGTGTCGTCAACTCAACTTAATCAGCGTTAACGAATGGATCCTGGAAACCACTGTGACGTCTCCTAATACTGTCACTACATGATAAAATGTAGATTATGTTCAAATACATTAATTATCGTACATTTATCAGTGTTGTGACGGCTGCCTCTTGTTATCCGTCCCTGTCTTTATTTGTAATCTTAGTGTATAAGCTCCAGAATATAATGATATATAACTTGCTGGTCGATGTCCAGGGTGAATCTTTACTTGCTCGTACAAATGTCTTTTACGACGTCCTCCATGTCGTCATTGTTGATGCGTCTCTGTTCTGTTTATTCCTCGTATCTCTCAATCTTTCCACACTCAGTTTCTTTTTCCCAGAACAGTGGCCTTCTTAAAATCATCTATCTTAATACAGCCCCACGATTCACTGGTATTTGCTTGTATTTGAAGTCTATCCGACTTTTCTCTCTCTCTCTCTCTCTCTCTCTGTGATGCTATCGTGCAGACCAAATACACAGTTTTTGACTTTCAGCGTGGTCAAACAAGGACAAACACAAAAATAGTGTTGTTTTCGTGGCATGTCGGGGGATCGGATATCTGCGGGGGAGTCGTCCATTTGTTTGCACGGCTTCACAGATACGCTGAGCAACATTAACACTTTCATCTTCTGTGAATGAATATTTGTGGATGATATTTTACACTCTGACACCCACATTGTTTTTGATAAAACTCTATTTAACTTATTAAAGGTGTCATTATTCAAGACAAATGTTATTTAGACTCAGAGAGGATCGATAAAGATCAGAATCTCTCGTAATTGTTTTCTCATTTTAATTCAAGTTAAACAAAGCTCAGCCCGACGGAACCTGAGAGAGAATAATTTTGTCTCGTCAATCACAAACAATGTTTTTCACACAGTCGTCAGGGGTAATTTGAGGTTCTGCATCTCGCCCAAGGACACTTTAGAATGCAGACTGGAGGAGCCGGGGATCAAACCACCGTCCTTCTGCTTGGTGGACGACCCTCGCTACACTTCCTGAGCCACATCCGTCAAACATATAGTGCTGGAACACGCTTTTTTGTTCTGCAGTGAAAACAAGGGGCCTGGCTATATCTTGACATAATGAAACATCGTTTACAGAAACTTTTACAGCTCAAAACATCCCCAGTGGTGACGTTTGGTAAAAAAAATCCCTGATTACTCTTCGGTGGAAGTTGACTAATGCTATTTACCGAGCGTTGGCTCCAGTTACAGTAACAGTAATAATGACTGTGAAGAAAGACGCTGTCCACATTTCTTTCAGCCTTGTAATCACTGACGCAAAGTACAGGTCATCTGCCAAATCCAGGCCTGCGCTCGGCCAGTTCATCAACTATGATATAAACCACTACACCACCTGTCTCCCTCAGCCGATGTGCAGCACGCACCGTATATCTGCACTCATAAAACATGTATTATATGTCTGCGCTCTGCAGGCCTGCCTGTGCGCGTGCCAGCATTTGATACGGTGCCCATCTCACATGTCCTGCCCCCCGAAGCCACAGTTGAACTTTCTCCACTGAAAAGTCCCTAATGCTGTTTTTCCATTTTTTCCTCATTTCTGGACCTGTTTTCTTGTCATGACGACACTTTAACGAGGTTGATTGCCGCCTTTAAAAGCTGATTAAAGCTTCAGACTTCTGTCGATTTAAAAAAAAAAACAGGAAAGAAAATGTCATTCAACTGCTTTTGATCACGTGGGAGCAGAAAGAGCAGCAGAGGTAAGATTAGCTGGTCCCTGAGCACCTGTACAACAGCCTGTGGGGAGGATATGCCAGAGTGTAGGAAGGATATAGATTTAGTCACATTTACACTATGGAGGCCTATAAACACTTTCTCCATTTCCCTGCAGGACGCAGTGGAAAACAGCTGATGTCAGTGCTGCACACTCACCCTGTGCTCTTTTCAAGAAAACAATAAAAATAAGACACAGATGCAAAAATAAAAGTTCTACATGATATTTCTTTTTTCCCCATCTATCCCCTGACTGTGTTGATCAGTAGCCTTTCGACCGTCATCGTATAAAACTCAGACATGCACAGAGTCAAAGGAAAGATCATGACGAAGGCCTTCATCCTTAAAATACGTTTATTTTTGTGCAAGAGTTAAAGAATGTCAACTTAAAAAAAAAAACTCGTTGAGCGTCAGATACAGAAACGTGACCTACCTCTCTGTAAACTGTAGCTTGAGGAGACCAGAACCAGCAGAACGAGGGCCACAGTCTTCATACTGAGTCTAGATGATCCTCTGGACAGGCTCTTCTTCTCTGGTGCACAGTAGCCTATACGCCGCTGGTTTAGAATCCCATGGCCGGTAAGGAGACCTTGTTGTTGACTCACTTGGAGTGTTTCCTCACTGTGTGCGTCTGCGTGGGACGGCCATGAGCCCTGTGCTCGACATGGACCAGCTCGGCCACTGTGTGTGTGTGTGTGTGTGTGTGTGTGTGTGTGTGTGTGTGTGTGTTGATGGACAGTGGCAGCTGGGATCTGTCCCCATGGACATTCACTCAGGTTTTGTAGCTGGAGCTCTAAAGGCTCCAGTGCTGGAGAGTTCTCCACATTCACACTGATCAACAACAAAGTTTATGAATCCAACTTCAACCTGTAATTAAACCTTTAATATAGATTCTATAGAAGCAAACACGTTCAAACACTGAAACAGCTGATATTCCCTCTGTGTCCTCATCAATGTACCGTCCTTTTTCTAGACATCCACAATCTGTTTCAGTCCATAAGCTGCGACTCAATGAAATGCACAATATATATGAGGAGAAACACCTGTATCCGTCTTTATGTGGAATCTGTGCATATATATATATATATAAGTGTAAATGACCAGCATATCCCAGCCTTCTCATTAACAAGTATTTAGTGTTTTAGACACACACAGAGAGAGAGATGGGGGGGGGGGGGGGGTCCAGGAGCCTTTGTGTCCACCTGTCGCCTGCTCGCCTGTATGTCCTGTTTTATTTTTGGAAAGGAATGGCATCTCTCTTCATCGGTCCCTCGTCCGTTTTGAACCATTGTACGTTATTGTTCTGCCGCTCTGCCTGTTCTCATTCTTCACATTTGTACAGAACTTTCTCCGGCTGCAGATAAAATAACCTGCATGTGTCACATCGAATCAGACTCTATTGTCATTTCACCAGACGTATCAAACGGTCGTGCAGAATTTAACGGCGTTTCCCTGAGATCACATTATCAGATAGAGAAACTAGAGGAGATCACAAATACAAATACAAAATGAGAAACACACATCGTCCCATCTGTTGTTAATGTAATGGTACAATGTCAACATGACGCAGAGAGCAGAGCCCAGCTCCTGGTTATTATTTCCATCAGCAGGTGGCGCTGTCTTGCAGGATCAGTAAGAGTTTCTTTTTTTTTTTTTTATCATGATTTTCTTTTTTGGAAAATTATATCAAAACATGTCGGAAAAACCAAAAGTGAAATGAACCAAATATAAAGAAAACGTTATAGTGTTAAAGTTCATACTTTGTCAATGATCACTGACTCAGCAGCTCGACTCTAAATTATATTTGTAATGATACTCTGACGCCCTCCTCTGGCTCAGAGATGAACTGCTTCTCTTCTCCTCATGAAGAATTTTGACATTTAACTAAATCTATAACAAAATTATTGTTATTTATTCTATTTAATTATTTTAATGAGTAATTACCATTTTTTTTAAATCTAATTTTACAACTAAATAGCTCCATTTAGATTCTGCCCACTACAGTTGTCTCATATTTGCTCTGATGTAAAAAAAAACCAAAGGTCTTTTATTCTTTGATTCTCATTATTTACTCAGTTCCTCATTAACTCATCAGCTCCGACTCATATAAACCAGTCTTCTTCCTCTTCTCACACTCGTCCGCCGTGCTATTCCTGCTAATAATGTTCTCTGCTGAAGTTAAAGTTCCTCTTTCATAAAACTGATACCAGATTTCTCTGTCACAAAAGAGTAAAGTCGACATCACTACCATGTGATAAACACCAGCACGTTTCTTTTCCCTGTAAAAGAACAAAGAAGTCTAGATTTAAAATAAAGAAATAACTTGGATAATAATTCATTCATGTGTTATTAGTGATCGTCAAAATAATTCTTTGCACAAAAACAATGGATTTTGAATCATTGTTGAAAAATGCAGGAAGCAGAATTGGAAAGTCAGGAGTCTGATCCTGAGGTGATAAATTCAGATTTATTCTTAACATCTGAGTTTCACAGAAGGACTTTTTTTTTTTTTGCGAGATTCAGTTTTCAACATCTGGGCCACAGACCTGTAGTTTGCTCGACTCCACAATGCGACAGAGGTGGAGAACTGAGAGTCATCTGCACCCGAGATGAAAGCTGGGATGATGTTTTTGAAATGTTTGATGACAGAATAAAATGCGGACGAGGTTCGGAACACACACAGTCTGTCTTCTCAGAGAGGTGCGAAGGACAATAATCTACCACAGCACCTCTATCTGTGGTATTTAGATCTTTCCAAGTGGATCTTTGTTCCTCGTGCACCAAGGGAGTCAGAAATGATCCACTTTGCAATCCAGAATGAGTCAGAATGAAGTGTGTGACAATGTATAACCAGGGTGTGTGTGCAGATTACACAGTGAAGCCTGTGACTATTAGATTTCTGTCTTCAGGCGGCTTCCCTGGATTATTCTCTTTATTCTACCATAGAAACCTGCAGCCCTCACCTGCTGGTCACAGCTACGCCCTGTGTGATCTCCATTATTATCCATTACGACAAGCAGTGACCTTTTAGAGATGGTTAGATCTCTTATTCTCTTCTAGGCCTACACACACACACACACGCACACACACACACACACACACAGACAAAGCAGGAGTCATATCTGGTGTCACTCAGCTCCTCCCTCTCCACGCTGTCCCAACGTGTCCTGCAATAATTAACCAGCTGCTGCAAGTTCACCTCCTCTCTCACACACACACACACGTCACACGCTGTACTCTGGACCAGACACACACACACACACACACACACACACTCAAACACACAAGGTCTCAGAACTAAAACATGGAGTAAACCAACTTTGTTCCTCAGAAGATTGAAAGACAGGGAGAGGTAGGAGCTTTTATTTCATTTGTGTTCCTTCAGTGTGAAAGTTGTGTTGCTGAACTGAAACTGGAAGCAGAACCAAAGAGGGCAGATTTAAACCAAAACAATTATTATTCATGGGTTCAAGAAAAACTAATTGTACCAAGAGACGTCTGATAGTTTTTCACTGTCGGATTACTTTTGTTTTATTAATACTTTGAAGTATTATTGTCAAATCCCGAGTTCATGCAACCAGTTCTAATAAACCACAGTTTATTTGTGGGCTTGAATAAAGTTTTTATAACTTTTCAACTATTGGTCTAAAATCTTTAATATTGAAATTTACATAATCGGGTCAAATCTGTGCCTGTGAGTGACGTGGAGCACGTTTGACATGTCCTGGGACAGTAAGGACAGAGAAGAAGTAACGAGAGAGGGAGGGAAAGAGAGAGAGAGAGAGAGAATCTGGGTGTGTCATCGTGTACTTTGGCTTTTTTCCCGCTGGCTATGTTTGTTCGTCTCACATTGTGATTCTGATTGTGTGCGTGTATAAAAATGGTCCCACAACGTTTTTGTTTTTCATCCCTCTTTTTAAAAAGAAAGCTGTTTTCTGGTTGAACCTCGGGGACATTACTGAAGTCGTATTCGTCACTGTCGCCTGGGAGGCAGATTTAATTCATCAAACGTACGTGCGACTCATTGAACGTAGACGATGATTGAAAATCCTTCTAGACAAGATGTTGTGTTTTCAGTTTTCAGATTTCTTTTGAACCAGTCAGATGTTATGTCTTGTTTCCTCCGGTCTTCAAGTTTAGAGCATAAACTGTAAATAAAGATGGACACCCTGTATAGTTTATGCCCTGAACTGCAGCCAGCCACTAGGGGGCGATCAAGACACTTTGGCTTCACTTTCATTATCTATATTTAAAATCTATTTGGAGCAGTTGGTTTATCAAGAGTTCTCCTTTTTCTCCTGTGATTTATAAATCACGTCGACTCTCTCGCAGGTCTGATGAATTCGCTTCACGGTTGGTGAAACCTACATGTTGAGGCCTGACCGTCACAGCGGAGTCAGGTTCGACACAAAAGAGGAAAACGTGCACCAAAAAAAAAAAAAAAAAAAAAAACTGAATCTGTATATTTGTTCTGCAACAACCAGACTTTTCACACTTTCATTAAACTCTGTTGCAAAACAGTAACAGAACATCTGCACTCCAGCGATGTCGAGTCTGTTCAGGCTCACACATGAAAACTGTGAGTCACTGTGAACATCAACCGGAAGTTAGAAGCAGTAGTTCAGTCAGAAGCTCGGTGATGTAGAATAGAAGAAGAAGAAGAAGAAGCAGATTAAAGTGTTTCCTCAACAGATTATTATTTTAATACTTTGAGGTTGTTAACTGCAACACTAGTCCCGCCTTTCATTTTCGGCTGAGGAGGAAATAGAAATGATCAAAATAATGATGCTGTTCCTTTTACATTTCACTTGTTCCTCTTTTTTCTTCACATGTTCATTTATTGATCTTGTTAAATCAAAGATCTTTATTTTTCATCATTATTTTTTATCCACCCTCATCAGATGGTACATTTAAATATATTCATTTGCATTTTTTTAATGCAATTCTGTATTTTACACGATATTATTAACATTTATTTATAAAATGCATTCTACACGCGCATCAGTAACACAGTCATTTTAAATATGAAATAGAGATCAGTGCAGGTTTTGACAGATGATGTGGAATTCCCTTTGTTTTTCTCACAAACTGTGCATGTAGAATTCTGCGTTGCACCTTTAAATGTTTCTGAACGGTGGATCAGAGCAGGGAGTGGTGGGGCTGCAGGGGGGACAGCCGCTGAATACCTGAGATATTTCCTATACCAGCAAACAGGCTGAGACAAAGATGGAAAGAATGAGACAGAGACACGAGCAGAGGACAGACTGCTCTACTTTCAGGTCGGCTCTTTCGTTCAAAAAAAAAAAAAAAAAATGGAAGAAAGAGGAAAAAGAAAGAAAGAAAAGGGAGAGTAGCCACGTGGAAATTCCTACAATCTGTCTGTCTTTCTTTTTTTTTTTTTTTTTTACGAGCTTCAGTGTCTCTGACTGAAGAACAAACAAATGGTTGGGTCCACACTGTCATCACTGGTTACTGGGTGGAGTACTGTTATTAAATCTCTGGGAGGCGAGCACAAAAAAGAAAGAGTGAGAGCGAGAGAGAGAGAGAGAGGGATAAATATAACACACAAAACTTCAGAGAGAGAGAGAGAAAGAGAGAGAGACTGGAAAGAAGATATTTAAAGGGCAGACGGAAGAAAGAGGCTCAGACAAAGAGACAGAGTCAGGAGGGAGAGCTGCCATGTGACAGAAGGTAAGACTGTTGAAGATGAGGTGTAGTTTGATGTCAGTGTCGTTCCTTGATGCAGTTTGACAGAAGTGGCAACAACAACAACAACAACAACAACAACAACAACAACACATACCGACACAATTCAACCAGTGCACGACACTTGTGATTGTTTCCTTCCTGGCTCCAAGAACAAGATGAGCCTCGTCTACCGGACTCATCTGAAGATCAGATATTGTTGTTGTCCTCTCTGCAGAGTAGTCGACACAGCTGGAGATGAATAAAGACGCTCTGCTCCCAGTGGTCCAGGCAGGAGACGGACGGACACTGTCCAGGTGGGTCCCCTCATATTTATAAATGAAAATCTGTGATAATAGTTCAATCTGATCGTTTCACAAATGAGCTGTGGATCATGTTGTGTTATTTTGTGTTATTTTACTATCCGATGCTTGTGTGTTGATTTCAGAGGAGAGTTTCTCTCCCTGCTGAGAACCTACAACTGTTTCCTGAAGGACCACACTCAGCTGCACCTCAGTTACTCTCAGGTTGGGTTCTGATATTCCAAATACTGTCCACGCGTCATAGCGTTGCATGATGCACACGGGTGTGTATTTATTGGTTTGTGTAACAGGGGGCTGATGGAGAGGTGGTGGTGGAGGGGTTCCTGAATATCTCCTGGGGGGTGCGCAGACCCATCAGGCTGAAGATACAGGACGACAAACAGATGCTTCCCTTCGTGCCTCTGATCTCACCCGACCCCATCAGTCCCGTCAGCCCGCTCGGAAACAAGAGGTCGGCTTTTTCACTCTCATCACTAATATGGCTCCTGAACATGTTTGGCTCTTGACTGACAGTCGGTGAATCTTGAATTTGTGAGACACCAGGACGGTTCTTCACTTATAAATGTGACTCAGTTTGGTTCTTCTTGGATTCTGCACAAGTGACTGTCCTTCAGTCACACCCTGTTTCTGGAATCATTTCAATATAAACAGTTAAACCCAAACTCAGTCCTCAACCGTACTTTTATACTTAACTTCACAGGTTTACTTTTATACTTATAAGTGGTCGCAATTTAATATTTGCTTTTGTGTTTCCAAAATTTAGCATTTTTTTAAAACAGTTTTTAAACTGAACAGGAGAGAGAATCCAGTTTCCTTGACTTCTCGTCCTTCGTGCAAAAAACAAAAGAACTGAGCTTTTGGAGCAGATGTGCAGTTGCACACAAATGGATCATCGCCTTTGTTTCCATCGTGCCTGTTCTCTCTCTGCAGGGGTATGACACGCTGGGGAGAATATGTCGACCTGCACCAGATAGATGAGATGTCGGAGACGGGACAGGAAACAGTCGTCACCAGTCCTTTGCCAGGTTGCTTTTATCCTCCTCCTGTGATATATCGCCGTGATGTGATCTTCTCGCTTTTGCATGACGGTACATTTCTGACCCTCTGAAGGCCCCCCTGCTGTTTATGAGACCACCACCCTGCGTCCTGTGAGGCAGAAGAACCCAGAGCTGGAGGCCGAGTCCAACCTGTTCCGCTGCATGAGCGACGCCTCGCTGGTCAAGAGGAGGAGGGGCAGGGGGAAGTCGGCTGCACAGAGAGAAAAAGAGAGACAGCATCGCTTCTCCATCAACGGACACTTCTACAACTATAAGGTACGGGGCTCTTTCTTATTGTCTCTCTTTCATCGTGAGATGAATCCTTCCCTCCTTTTCCAGATGTTCCACGTCTGCTCATTATTTTCTTTCCTCCAGACCTCCATCTTCACTCCATCCTTCGGCACACCAACTAAAGTTCGCATCTCCAGCGCGATGACCACAGACCAGGTCATCGAGCAGCTACTGAACAAGTTCAAGGTGAATTCATTCACTTTTAATTAAGTCACCGATCAACAAGGTGGATTCACTTCCTCGTTCCCAGCAGTGTCTTCGTTGTGTGTAACGTACGACACTGTGTCTTCGTCCCACAGATAGAGAACGACCCTCAGGAGTTTGCTCTGTACTGTGTCCACCAGAGCGGAGGTACAGTCTGTCCCTTACACCTGACTTACACAGGAAGTGGAAACAGATACCTTCACCGACGTGTGTGTTTGTGTGTGTGTGTGTGTGTGTGTGTGTCTGTGTGTGTGTGTGTGTGTGTGTGTGTGTGTGTGTTTTGTCCAGAGAAGAGGAAGCTCAGTAACAGAGACCAGCCCCTGTGGGAGCGCATACTGCAGGGGCCCTCCGATGACATCATGAAGATCTTTATGATGGATATGGACGAACAGGAAGTCAGCAACGATGTGAGTTCGATCCCGAGCTTTAATTTCAAATGCTTGGAATAATCGTTCACACCACGTCTCTGCTCCATAATCTTAACTTCACCCTGGTACAAATCAAATTGTTGTGTTTGTGTCTCTGCGTCAGGTCGCTCTGTATCTGAACCTGGAGCTTCCGATCCTGGAGCAGGTTCTTCTGGAGCTCAGAGAGGAGGAGAGCAAGGAGATACAGAGGGTCATCAACAAGTAAGAAGTTCAAACCCGTTTTCTATTCGCATGTGTTTTGTTAAATTGCTTTACGTTGAGCTCTGTCGACCACCGTACACGTACCCGTCTAACAGATGTGCAAATTCACAAGTGTTGGAGGAGAAAGTCACTGTAGTGGCATTTCCAGGCCAGATGATGGAGCCAACATCTTGCTGTTTGACTCACAGTGTGTGTGTGTGTGTGTGTGTGTGTGTGTGTGTGTGTGTGTGT